TGAAAGTCCTCACGTGTCTGTAAGGCCTGGCTCTCCTAGTGTGGCTGCAGTCCTTCCTTTCGCTCTTCGGTCCCATTTCCCTTCCCTCAGCGCTCTGCCCAGACTGACGCCCTCTCGCGTGCTCTCACCCTAGGAGGTGGCCTCGGTGGGACCAGAAGAGGCGGGGCCGACGTGAACATCCGGCATTCCGGCCGGGACGATACTTCCCGCTATGATGAGAGGTAAGATTGGGCAGCCGGGGTCCTGGGATGGGGGTGGTCACGTGGGGGAGCCCTGCCACAAACCTCTGCCCACCTCATCCAGGCCTGGCCCCTCCCCGCTGCCCCACAGGGACCGGGACCGGGACCGCGAGCGGGAGCGCAGGGAACGAAGCCGCGAGCGAGACAAGGAGCGAGAACGGCGACGCTCCCGCTCTCGGGACCGGCGGCGGCGCTCACGGAGTCGCGACAAGGAGGAGCGGAGGCGCTCCAGGGAGCGTAGCAAGGACAAGGACCGGGAACGGAAGCGGCGAAGTAGCCGGAGCCGGGAGCGGGCACGACGGGAGCGGGAGCGCAAGGAGGAGCTGCGTGGTGGCGGAGGTGGTGGTGACATGGCAGAGCCCTCTGAGGCCGGCGATGCGCCTCCTGACGATGGGCCTCCTGGGGAGCTGGGTCCTGACGGCCCTGATGGTCCAGAGGAGAAGGGCCGGGATCGTGACCGGGAACGACGTCGGAGCCACCGGAGCGAGCGGGAGCGGCGTCGGGACCGAGACCGAGACCGGGATCGCGAGCACAAGCGGGGGGAGCGGGGTGGCGAACGGGGCAGGGATGAGGCCCGAGGTGGGGGTGGTGGCGGCCAGGACAACGGGCTGGAGGGTCTGGGCAACGAAAGCCGAGACATGTACATGGAATCTGAGGGAGGTGATGGGTATCTTGCTCCGGAGAACGGGTATTTGATGGAGGCCGCACCAGAGTGATGAGGGCCTCCCCCTGTTTTGTTTTGGACGTGTTCCTACCCACCCCCTGCTGTCATCCTCTCCCCTGACCTTGGCCACCACCCAAGTTTGCCAGCCAAGGGTAGGAGTCTCCTTATTTGTTCAGGCCCCTCAGATTTAAAAATAAAATTAATTTCCTGTTGATAATGAGCACCTTGGTTTCTTCACTGCTCTTCCTGTATTTCCCCCACCAAGGTCGTCACCTGACTGTTGATAGCCCCACTTTGGTTTGTGTCCCAGGGCCTGCGAAGGACCGGGGCTTTATGACGACCTAAGGCTGGACCTACCCACACTATACCAGACCTGCTTAAAATGGGATAAGGAGGTGTTCTCTAAGGGTTCCCTCCATTAGGATTTTTGGTCCCTTTGTGATTTCCTTCCTCCTCTTTTTTTAATGTCTGCCACACATTCCCTGTGGGGCCATCCCTGCCCTTGTCTTGGTGGCCAGGTGGGTTTCCAGACACTATTGCTCAGTGGGAGCCGCAGGTTTGCGTGAAAGGGAAGCTGTCGCCGGAGTTGGGAGAGCAGGGAAAGGCTGAGGAGATGAACCAGGAGCACAAGCTACAGAGGGACAAGATGGGGTGCCACAGAGCAGCTGCACAAGGTGGGGAGTGCAAAGGGCCTGTGGTTAATGATAGCAAGTTCATGAGTATTTTTACTTCCGGCTGCCAGTGTCAGTGGAGGGTTAATAAGAGACCCGGAGAGCTTCCATCAGCAGTTGAGATTCCGGCCGTTTCCGGAGGGTGAGGACACATCAGGCTGGTGACCCCTTGAGAAGGAAGCCAGTGAGCCTCACAGAACCCCAGAGGGGCTCAAGACCACAGCTGCAGGTACGAGTGTAGCAAACTCCAGAATCGCTGCCTGGAATGGCTGTCCTCCGTTTCAGCCCTTGGGATGCCTAGGAGCTGGGCATTTTCTGCGTAGGCAAATACAGGACCTATTTTTGTGTCTGAGGATTTTCTCAGTCTATAGGTAAACTTAGCCTGGTAACCCAGAGGCAGCCTGTCCGCTAAATCTGACTGACACAAGGATTACGGTTTTTAACTGCCTCATTCTACCTAACCGTGCAAAAATGACAGCCAATGGAGAAAATCCTGCAGCAGGAGACCACAACCTAAATGAAAAAACTGGTTCTGGAAGGAAGAATTTAGGGACTAAAAGAGAACTCCGTGCCTCTAGTTAGTATATGCTCATAGATATACCAGATACTGCACCTGCGCTTCTGGAATTGGCCGTAAAGAGCAGGGTTTGGGGCTAGCGTGGCACAGGCATGTTACACGAAGCCCGGACAAAATCCGCAGAAGGAACTGGGGAGCTTGGCTGGAGGGTGATGCCTAAGAAAAGGAAAGCACACAGGTGAACCTGTTAGCCCTCCCCTGTTCCCCGAGGGCATTTGCCACTTGAGCCTAGGGGAATAGACTCAGAAAGTGTCAGTCCGCTGAGTTGAATTCACACAGGTTAGACCGCACAGGTTGGACTTAAGGGCAGAATTTCCAGATGGGCCACTGAGCCCCCAGTTCCATCGGCAGCCTTCCCTCAAAACATTTGCCAGCTGCTAAACTGCTTGCTGTCCGTGTAAGACCTGACCACAAAGGGCTTATCAGAAAGCAGAAGCTGGATGCTAGCGAGCTGAGCAGAGGTGGCAGCAGCCACTTGCACACTTGGCACTTGTGGTGGCCGTGCGGGAGATCTCCGTGGAGATCTGAAACTGGACCCATCGGGATTACAGGTGATGTCCTTGCTGGGAGAGGACTTAGCCCTCTGGGGGAAGATCTAATTCAAGAGCCTCTGTGATTTCTAGTACACAATGCTCAGCATTTACTCAAAAACCATTAGGTATTCTAGAAAGAAGACTTGAGTTGCTGAAAACCAAGGGAAAAGTAGCCAACAGACCCAGGCATCCTGCTGTTGGGAGTTACCGGAGAGTGAAATAACCACAGGTTCACGAAACAAGGAAAGGATGGAGAGCTTTGAAGAGATCTGCCATCTTTAAAAGAAAAAATAATTTTTTTTTCAAACTTTAGAACTGAAAATAACTTAATTAAGAATTTAGGTGCATTTTGCAGTTCATATACTACATAACCCAAATTGTATCTGTTAACACATTAGAAGTTCTAATGGGGAAAAGAGACAAACTTTCTCAAAAGTAAGAGGAACCTCACAATCTCTTAAGGAAGTTAAAGATACATGTCACCAAAACAAGCGGTTTACAGGAGAGGAAACAGGATCCATTTCAGAGCAGCGAGGGTAAAAAACCCCGGGATGGCAGTTTCTAGAGAGCAGTTAGTCCAGGCTGGAGTCAGGGCTCTGACTCAGGTTCCCAAGGACCTTCAGAATAAAGAAGGTTCAGTCGCTGAATGGATGGCATTTGTCATTTCACGAGGTACATAAACCAAGCCATTGTGCTGTACGCACCCCTTAACCTGCTGCAGTAATGCACGTCAATTATTCCTCTGTAAACCTGTCTAAAAAGGACTGAATAAAATATGTTGTGATGGAAAGTTTGAAAAGTTGGGAATGTCATGGAAGAAAAGCAGACGGAAGGTGCAGGAATAAAGCTGTTCAGGAAAGGAAATGTAATCACAGAACACTCCTAGGCCCTCTGGTAAACAGTCAGTACTTACCATGTGAGCACTTTATTGATTGTCCTAAAAACTGGTAGCATAAAACTACCGTGGGAAGAGAGCGGAAAGGTTGTAAGAGCAGAAAATCAATACATAATATATTACTAACACCTAGAATTGAGAAACAGGTTACTTAGATATATAAGCAAAACATCTCTGAGTTGTTGCCTCTTGCAGCGGGGAGACTTAGGACATGCTTTTCGATATTAGCCCTTCTGTGTTTGATTTTGTTTTCATTAAACTTGTTAAAACGAGAGAAAGATACTACAGAGAGGGATAGACATACCTGCTCTAGTCCTCTCACTTGGCAAAAGTCCTTTTCAGGATTCCATTTCCCCATCCAGCTAATCCTGCTGATGGGCAACAGTCAGCCTTCTCCACAATCTTCTCCACATTTCCTACATTTCTCTGGCCTCTCTAGCGTGTGTAATACCACTGCCCACTTCTTTTTTGAAAGCACTCTCTTAACAGTTCCTCCCACCTGGTTTCCCTCCCACTTTCCTGCCATTCTTTGTCTTTTTCCTAACTTTGAAACGGTAGAAGTTTCAGGAACTCAGCCCTAGGTCCTCTTTGTTGTATATTACCTTGCTGCCAGCTAATGAACACAGCCGATCACTAAGACAGGGCCAGACATTTCCAAATCTGTCCAGCTGTCCTTCCTGTCTCCTGACCTCCTCCAAGCCATCACAGGATTGCTGGGGGAGCCTTACTCGCTGGTCCCCCTGCTTCCTCTGTTGCTGCCATCCAATCCAGTCCCCACACTCTGGCTACACGGATCTTAAAATATGCATTTGAATATCACATTTAACTCTTAGGAGTTACCATGAAGTCCAAGGTCGTCATGTGTATGCTAAAACCAAGGTCGTGTATAACCTGGATCCCGCCTACCTTCTCACCCTCACAAGCCACTCTAGTTTTTACTTCGTGGGCTCTTTCTGCTGGAAAATGATTCGCGCCCCACCTCCCGATGATCTTCCCTCCAAGGACTAGGTCAGTGGCCCTAGAACACCTCCTCACTCCTGATTTCTCATCACAGCCGTAGCTGGTAGTCTACCTCCCCTTCTCATAGACTAAATTCCTTAAGGGGAGTGGGCTTGTCTGCCCTGCTCACCATTGTGTCCAGATGTTTAACAACGTTTTGTTCGATGAACGTGGTAAAAAGAGAAAGCGGAGAGACAGGTGTGGCGGGCAGGGCAGAGAAACGGAAGGAGGTACACACAAGCTGCAAAAGGAGGGGTCGCAAAGCGGACAGACAGTTGGCGACCGTGGGCTGGGCCGCCAGACAGGCGTGGCAGCAGGTGGGGCTTCCGCGGCGCGGGGATCCAAGCTCACGTTGGGCCGCGCCCCCGCAGGGGGCGCCCGCCGTCCGGGGCGTGGCCTCGAGCAGCCCCGCCCCCCTCGCCAGAGACCTGGCAGGCGGGCGGCTCGCGGCGGCGGCGGCGCAGACATGGCTGCGCTGGTGGAGCCGCTGGGGCTTGAGCGGGGTAAGCGCGCCAGGGGGCCCTGCCCACCGGCCGCGGCCCGTGTCCGGGACCCCGGTCCCCGCCCCTCCACGGCGAAGCCCCGGCGGGTGGGCGGGCAGATCGAGCGGGGGTGGGCGGGGCGGGGCGCCGCGGTTTGTGGGTGTGGGAGGGTCCGTGGGCTTAGCGGGCCCAGTAGCGGCGCCCACCGCACAGCCCTTCCTGTGTGCGTTTGGGGATCCGGGGGGCGCAGGGCTGCGGCCGCAGTCTCTTTTGCCCCCGACGACTCTGCGGGTGTCCTACTGGGACTCGGCTGTCTTTCCCGGGATCTGTCAGCGCTCGCCTTACTCGGTTTCTGGCCGCAGCGCTCCGTGCTTATCCGAGTCTCTGACTCTTGTCTCTGCGCCCCGTCCCCGCCCCGCAGACGTGTCCCGGGCGGTGGAGCTCCTCGAGCGGCTCCAGCGCAGCGGGGAGCTGCCCCCGCAGAAGCTGCAGGCCCTCCAGCGAGTCCTGCAGAGCCGCTTCTGCTCTGCCATCCGGGAGGTGAGAACAGCGCGGCGCCGGACACAAGCGGGCGGCCGCGGTCCCAGTCGTTGCCCGGAGCCCAGGGACTACGCCTCCCAGCAGCGGCTGGGCCGGCCCGCCTTGGGGTGCCCGCGCTTCAGCCCGGGGTTCTTCGGGAGTTGTAGTTTCCTTGGGCTCCGGGTTGCGGGGGGCGGGGCCGATCCTTGGGTGGGAGGATCTGCGGGTCTGGACTCTGCTTAAGGGAGAAGGGGAGCCCCCCTGGTGGTTCTCTGACGCTACGGCGTCTTCACCAGGTGTATGAGCAGCTCTACGACACGTTGGACATCACGGGCAGTGCTGAGATCCGGGCCCACGCCACAGCCAAGGTAGGTGCCCCCTACGCCATCACTCATGGTATCCACCGAACTGCCTGGTCTAGCTTAGTAACTTCCTAAAGTCAGTCATGCCTGTTTCTTCCTACATGATTTTTGCCAAAGCTATGTACCAGCTTTTGTTACTATTATTTACTGATATTATAATCTCTTAAGTTGTACTTAAATGTCATTTAAAGGCATCTTTAGCAACTTCAAATGGAAACTATTGCTGCATACCTGACATGAAGATACCTTTTTTTTTTTTTTTTTAAGATTTTATTTATTTGACAGAGATCACAAGTAGGCAGAGAGGCAGGTAGAGAGAGAGGAAGGGAAGCAGGCTTCCTGCTGAGCAGAGAGCCTGATGGGGGTCTCTATCCCAGGACCCTGAGATCATGACCTGAGCCAAAGGCAGAGGCTTTAACCCACTGAGCCACCCAGGTGCCCCTGAAGATACCTTTTAACACCTACATAATGAAATAGCATGAAACACTGAAATCTTATCAAACTCTAGTTGTATGCTGTTTCTTGCTGCTTCCTGGAGGCTCTCAGCTTCTTCCAGCCCTTGTTTTTCTCTATTAAAAATTGAGATTGGCAAGAGTTGACTACTGAAGGTACACTCACACCAAGTGGAGACATTCTCTTTGACATGTCTAAAGCATCCAGACTGAATTAAGAGAGACTCATTACAGTGCAAGCTTGTTTGAACTGTGGCAGGTGTCCCCTGTGCGGGGAAAGCGATCTGATCCTCCCCCCTCACCCGCCTGCCACCCCGCCCCCAGCCATGGAATGGCTCTCACCTCCCAATGCTTTCTCTCCCCCAGGCCACAGTGGCTGCCTTCACAGCCAGCGAGGGCCACGCACATCCCAGGGTAGTGGAGCTGCCCAAAACAGATGAGGGCCTGGGCTTCAACATCATGGGGGGCAAGGAGCAGAACTCCCCCATCTACATTTCCCGTGTCATCCCTGGAGGTGTGGCTGACCGCCATGGAGGCCTCAAGCGTGGGGACCAGCTGCTGTCAGTGAATGGTGTGGTGAGTGGGGACTGAGGCTGGGCTCACAGTCTGTTCCAGGTAGCACAGTCCCTGCTTTTCACATTCATTCAACATGCAACGATAGAGTACTGCGTGCTGGGCGCCACTACAGATCCTGAAAGAAGTTTGCCTCAGCTCCTATGTTCAAGGACTCCCTTCTTGGTGACGGAGATTGACTGGAATAGTCCTAATCTGGGGAGATCATAATGAGGAAGCACAAGCCATTGCAGAAGCCCAAATGTGGCTCTCACCAGACCAGTGTAGATGAGGGAAGTTTTTGCAGGGAAAGGAACATTTGAGTTGGGTTTTGAAGGATGAGGAGGAGTTCTCCAGGCAAATAAGGTAGAGAAGTGTATTAGCAGCTAAGGGTGTTGTAGGTAGGGGCTGGGACTCTGCACTCCTCTGAGCTGAACAGAAAGGGCTTAGGTCTAGTGGAGGAGTGGAGCACGTGGTTAATTAAAATCACTGCAGTTGGAAGTAGACACAGCACAGATGGATCGGTAGTGAGGGTCGGCTACACAGGGCCTGAGGGCCAGCCTGAGAAGCTGGGACTTTGTCTCAAGGGTTCTGGGGAGCCTTGGGAAGGCTGTGAAGAGGAGACGGATAGGCTCAGCTTGGAGGTGTAGAAGGATCCCTTTGGGACTCTACAGGGGATGGATTGAAGGTAGAGACTGGAGGCCAGAAAGTTCTAGGGAGAAGGCTAGGTAAAAGTCGACCAGGGAGAAGAGGAGGCCTGAGCTGGGGCCAGGGTGGTGGGGACAAAGAGGAGGGAATCAGCAAGAGGGAGAGGGCTAGGATTAGCAGGCTTTGGGGACGGAGGGGGATAAAGATGGACCTAGAGTTCTGGCTTAGTGAGGGAGGGCAGATAGGGCTTGTCCCCGACATGAACTTGGAAGGTTTTGAGGGAGGACACTGAGCCAAGAATAATTACTCTCCCCTGAGGCCACGAGGCCTTGACCTCTTGGGCTGGTACCAGGCCCACCAACAGTAGGTCCCATTTCCAGGGTTGGGGCTGGGGGAGGGTGGTAGGCCCCAGGCCCAGGTGTCTGTGCACTGCCCTGCAGAGCGTTGAGGGTGAGCAGCACGAGAAGGCAGTGGAGCTGCTGAAGGCAGCCCAGGGCTCGGTGAAGCTGGTGGTGCGTTACACACCTCGCGTGCTGGAGGAGATGGAGGCCCGCTTCGAGAAGATGCGCTCTGCCCGCCGGCGCCAGCAGCACCAGAGCTACTCGTGAGCCCTTTGCCACCACACCCCTGGGGCCTCTGTTGCCTCCTTTATCCTGAGTCCCAAGCCAGGCCAGTGATTTCTGGGACCTTCATGGCTACCCCCAGCCCTGGCTCCTCTCCCTGGGGTTCTGACCCTTGACCCTGACCCAGGCTCTCACAAGCCATTCTGGCTACATCCCATGGGGACTCCCAGCTCACTGTCAATTCGAGATCTGCAGCCTACTCTCTGGAATCCCTCAGTCCACTTCCCTGGGCCCTTGGCTCTGGAACCCCAGGCCTGGTTCTCTCCCAAGCCTCCCCAGGTCCCCTCCCCTGAGCTTGGCTCCCATCTCTTCACCCTCTTTGCAGGTCCTTGGAGTCTCGAGGCTGAAACCACAGTGTTTGGACCCTCACCCCGCCCCCTCCCCTGTATAGTATTTATTGTCACCGGCTCCTTGTTTAAAGATCTTTGACCCTCACTGAGTGTCTGTGCGTCTGTCCTGCATCCTGGGGTTAGAATGTCTTGGGATGTGGGGGAGGGAGAGAAGCTGAAGTCTAGAGCAGGCCCGGAAGAAACGCTTTTCAGAGTCTGAGAGCAGAGGTAGAGACTTTCCCCCAAGGTCTGAAGCGGGAGGCTGGCCGGCTTCCTAGGCATAAGTCCAAGGCCGAAGCTGGGACCCTGTTTGGGTCCAAGTGCGGGGTCACAACCGAAGACAACGCCCCCTGGCCTTGAAGAGAGACTGAGGGCGAAGGCCAAGCGCCTTCTGTAGTTGGTCTGACAGGAGTCCTGAGAAGCTGCAGAGCCGGTGGGAGGCCTCTGTGTGGGCGGGGCGGAGCGAACCATTAGCTTCGTTCGGAAGGGAAGCCCTGCAGGCCGTACTATCATCAGCGTGCGGGGTGGGGGTGCCGTGTGCAGTTCCCGAGGTGGACGCAGGGGGTGCAGAAAAAGGTGCACCCGCCAACCCGGCATTCACCCCACCTTCCAGCCTGAGCGCTTGGCTCCGGGAGCCGCCCCCGCCTTAAAATCCAACCTTTACTCGCACCTCACCGCCGGTCCAGCCCTCACGTCCCGTGCGGCGCTAGGGCCGGCGCACGCCACCTCCGGGATCTGGGGTCGCAACTCGCATTCCACGCCGCGCGCCACTAGCTCCAGGTGACATCATCCCCTGCCGGGCTCCGCCTCCCGCCCCAGCCGCCTCACGCCGCGCACTTATTGGCCGGCGCTCCTTGAGCTCCGCCTTCCGCTCTCCGCCCGCGCGACCCCTCCCAGTCCATGCGAAGGCGGGGTTTAGCCGCCGGCCGGCTCCGACTACGTCTCCCATTGGCCATTCAGAGCCGTCTGTCAGTCTCCTGTTAAAGGGGCCACGACCGCACGGGAGCTGTTGGGGGGGGAGGGAGGAGGAATTTTTTTGGGGGGGAGGTGGGATTTGGGGGGCGCTGGTGGGCACCCCTGGATCTGGCGGATGCGGCCTCGCGGGGGGGGGGAGGCTGAACGGTGATAGGGGCAGGGGGCTATTTTAGGGTAGAGGGCTGTGAGACCGTGAGGGGGAGGGGGGGTCCCCAGCGCCCAAGCCGGAGCCAGAGACGCGGAGCCCGCGCGAGCGGCGGAGACAGGGCTCCGGAGCCACAGATCCGGGCCCCGGCCGCCGCCAGGGGCCCCGCCCGGTCCCCCCACCCCACCCCACGTCCCTCCTGCAGCCCAGCTCCGCCCGCAACCGCCGCGGACCAGGTAGGTAAGAGCCCGGCCCAGCCCGCTTGGCAGCGCCCACCCCGGGGACCCCTCGCCGAGCCTCCCTCTCCTTCCCGAGATCCTGGACTGCCTTCTTTATCCCCGGGGGCTCTGGAGCCCAGATTTCACAGCTCAACCCCAGAGACTCAGGCGTGCCCCTCCCGGCTCTCAGAGTCCCCAACCGAACCCTAGAATCCCAGGCGTACTGCCGCCTGGCGCCTCGTCCAGGGCCCAGGAGCTTGGATTTCCCAGTTCAGCCCGGCAGCCCCCTTTGGACCTACATCCTCCTCCTCGGCCCATTCCCAGGAGCTCCAGACACCTGCTGTGGCTGTGTCAGACCCCCAGGCAGGGCCAGCTGCCCCCCGTCGGGTGTGCACAGTCCCCTATTCGTGCACCCGGTCTACCCTTCTCCAGCCTCCGGCTTGAACAGCCAGCCTCCTCCCTCGGTCCAGGCCGGCTCGGCAGCCGCCCTGGACACAGGCCCGCTCTGGAGCTGTCCATGGTCAGCGCACTCGGCAGCCTCACCTCCCCCACCTCCTGCTGCTCCTGCTGCCGGGGAGGGGGCGCCTGCGGCGCCGGGGGGAATACCCCCCGCCGCGCCTTTGACCCGGAGATACCCGGGGCCTCTCCAACCCGGGCGCCCGAGCCTCAGGGTTCCGCTGGCGAGCCTCCCGGCCGGTCCTCAGTACCCCAGGTTTCTGGGACCCCAGCTGCTTCTTGAGGAGTCGGGGCTTCTGAATGTTCCTTCCTGGTCCACCTTAGGGACCTTGGCATCCAGGGATCTAGCTCCCACCTGTCTCTGGAAGCCCTGCTGGTGCTCATTCGGTCTAGCTGAAGGCCCCAGCTGGTAACCCCCACCTGCTCAGGACCTGGGAATCCAGTTCACCCAGCTCTTGCCCCCTTTAGAGACCCAGTTCAACAGCCCCTGTGCCCCTTAGGCAAATATACCCAGCCTCCCCACATCCCAGTATCTGCCTGGTTAGGGATTCAGGCACCATGACACTCTCCCTTTCAGGGGCTTGGAATGCAATTCTTAATGCAATTCTCTGGCTTCTGCCCACCTTCCCCTTTGGAGACCTAGATGTTTTGTCCCTGGTCCTGCATCCCCTCAGGGACCAAGGAGTTCAGAACCCAGCTTCTGTATTGCCCACCAAAGCCATCTGCCACAACCCTCCTTCCCAACAAGGACTCAGGCTCCAAGCTTTCACTGTCCTGTATCTCCACAACGATTTAGGACTCCAGGCCCCCACCAAGTATCAGCCCATTAGCTCTTACTCTTAGGGAACCAGGTCCCCCATCAACTTGACAACTTTAGTGTCCTTAACAAATCCCTGCCTCATCCCCATATCATCTCAGGCACTGTGCTCCCTGGGCTTTCTCTTCTCTATTCCCAGATATTCTCTCTTCTTGAGATGTTTCGAGCACCCTATCATGATATTTGTGTCATGATGTCCCATCCTCTGTGTATACCTTCTCAGGCTGATGAACCAAACATACACGCTTTCCTCTAGATGTGTTCTGTGACCTAGGTTCATTAGATGACCCAGAACCTACCTATTGTCTTCTGTATTTTCAGTTAAACTGTACCCTTGCAATGTTCTAGGTTCTTTCTAAATCTTAGAATGCTCTCAGTCAATATCTTCTGTTTTCGCCCACGGTATGTTCTCAATTCTAGGTTAGATGCTAAATTCTAGGCATGCATTTCCCCAGGGGAATTCAAATGTCTTGATAATGTCTCCAAACCAAATTCTGATCCCACCTTCTCTTCACATGTGTTCTGAATTTTTAGAAACCAGCACTTGCTTATTCTCTGCTAAAATTCTATTTTAGGTGTGTTCTAGGTTCCAGCCACATCCTTGGCATTGTTCTAGATTCCGTTCTCCTCCCAGGGGCAGTCTCCATTCTAGAATATGTGTGTTCCAATTATATGCTCTAGCCTTTCTCCACATTGTGCTATCAGGTTTAAAATGCACTTTCCTATTTTAGGTTCCATCCATGTCTACTCTCTTAAATCTAAAGGATTCTCACTGAAATGTTGTATATCTTCCCTTTTCAGGTACTCGGTGCTAGGCTCATGCATTCCAACCTTTTCTGTCAGTCTTTTCCCTAACGTGACCTTCGTTTAGAACTTATCTCCTGGAGGACTGTGGGCTTCCTCCTCCATCTGCCACTTTAGCATTCTAAGCATGCTCTAGGCTCATCTCTTCTTTTGGAGTCTTCAGCTAGAAATGTCCTCATTTCCAGAACATCTCTCCCCCTTTCCTTTGCCAGCTCAGTCCTTATGCCAGTAAATTCTCAATTCCCAGCATGCTTCTGAATCTTCCCCCAAGCACTTGTAAGTTCCGGGCAAACTCCTTGCGACTTTCTAGGGTTTTTTCCCCCATGCCCAGGGCATATTCTGAATTCTAGAGTCTATCTTCCACCTCTGTTTGTCATCTAGACACATGATAACACCGAGAGTGTGACCCCTGCTATATTCTTTGTTACACCTGCCTCCCTGATGGGTTCTGAGTTCTAGATGTCTCCTGACTAGGTTTGTCATGCATCGCGTTAGGTGTGTTTTTAGGTATCATTATGCTCCCCTCTGTGTTTGGGGTTCTTCGGTGACCCAGACCACTCTTTAATTTATTGGATTGCTTTTGACTGGTTCGGGTTCCAGACCTGGGTTCTAGACTATGCCCCTCTACTTGGCCCTATGTAAGGAATTACCCCAAGCACACTGTACATGTGGATACATATGTCCTTTCTGCACTCTGTACTGTCTTCATGCCAATGGCCTTCTAGATCCTACACCCAGCCTTGCTAAGTTCTATTCCTTCTCAGTGAACTGGAAGTTCTAGAGTAGCTTCTCGGAAACATCCTGTGTTGCACCTCTCGAGTAGGTTCTGGGTTTAGATACCATTTGGTTTGACTTGTCTCCTTATAAATATTGTCTTAAATCTGGCCTCTAAGTGCTGACATGCCGGTGTCTAGATTCCTAGGGGCACCTCTTCAAAGATCCAAGGCTACAGGCATCTAGCTGCCTTCACTCCCAGTTTCCAGGGCCCTCCATCCCCTCCTCTTCTCAATGAACTCCAAGACCCCAGTTCCAGGTTTTGGACATAGTCTGCATGCTGGGTGGGGCTGGGAACTATCCACTGTCAGAACCGGTTATGCCGATGCCTGGAGGGAGAGAAAGAAAGGAGGGAATGGAGTGAAAGTCCCTCCTGCTTTCGACCAGGCCAGCTGGACCCGTCTGACCTGATGTGTGTAGAGGGAGCGGCTCAGGAGACCTCCCTTCATCTCCACCCACGGCTAATACAGGCAGATTCCTGGGGCCTGGGGGCCTGGACTCCTGGGTTCTGGGCGGGGGGGTGGGGGGGAGGAGTGGTCTGCAGGCCGGGATTTCTGGGTCTGAGGATGGAGGTGGAAAGCTCGGATTCTTGTGTCCCTGTCTGACCCCCAGGATTGGGGAAGAGGCGGCTGGAGGCTTAGACTCCAGGGTCTAGGTGAGAGAAGGGAGTTGGGGACCTAGCTTCCTGTGACTTGAGGTAGGAGGGAGCTGGATCTTGGACTCCTGGGTTGTGGGAGATGGCTAGCAAGTGGAGTGTTTTTTAGATTCTTTCTAGGAGAAAGAATTTTTTTTTAGATATCTGGAGCTGGGGTCCAGATATCTGGGAAATTGGCGGCAGGAGTTGGGCTGGATAGGTGAGGGCCATCCCTGTGACCCTGTACTAGTACCACTGACCTAATTCTGTGGCCCCAATTCTT